ACAAGTCTGTGAAGTTGCTTGATTTCTTATGCTCCTTTTTTCTTCAGGCGCTTGCTTCCCTGTCCTACAAGTCCAGCGACTCCTGGAGCTGATGGCATCTACCACAGCTGTGGGACAACATGCTCAACTGAGCCCCTACTCCAGGGTCGGGTGGTCCAGGTAGCATCAGGCGATACCACGGCAGTTTATTTTATACACAAGCTCATTCATTACACCTTCTTGTTCTCACCATCACAACCTTTCAGAATGGTGTTATGCTTGCCACATTTGTCCAGTGGCTGTACATTTGGCAGGCAGGAACGATTCTGTGGCAGTCCATTTCAGCAGACTATGGTTCTGCTCTCATGAGCAGGCTCTTGACGATGCCACCTTTCGTTGCCTCTGTCATTGATGGGGATTCCAGACATAGATGTTTTGCATCCTGATTAAACAAGAAGTGTGCCATATTCAGCTCCCGAGCTGGCATCGGCCGCAGCTCCCTAGGGGACGCCTTCCTTACGAATTGGCCACAGGGCCTCCTTTACAGGTTTCCACCTTTTCGTCCTTCTTCAAAGGACTGTTGTTGGTGTCCACCATGAGTGTGCAGACGTCATGCTTGGTCGCCTCGCTAGTCATGGTTTTTGATCCTGCTACCCTGAGCTGAGGAATACATCAAGCTGCACCCGGATCGGATATTTCATGCAGACTTCGAGTCCCCCTACCTGTCCGCATAGAGTCTTCCCCAACTGTAACAGACATGTTCAATCATGCTTGCAAACCTTTTACCACCTTGACCTACTCCTATAATGGGTAGGCGTTCTGTCACTTTGCATCAAGATGACATTTGCCTACTAGGTCAATGTCTCTGGATGCATTCCTTCAGTTTCTCCTTCACCTGTTTTGCCAGGGACTGGCCTGTTCTACTTGCAAGCTGTTTTTCCGAGACCTGGAGAATATGCAACCTGCCTATAGACCACTAACATCTCAGTGGTCTCTCCAATCAATTCTTTGGTGGTTTATGAGGCCTGCCTTCAAGCCCTTTGTGTCAGCATCACTCTGCTTGCTGCCTTTCTCCTGGCAATAACCTTGGCTTGCAGGACTGGAGGACTGGCCACACTAAGAGCAGGTCCTCCTTTCTGTAAGGTAGCCTTATGGCCCGACCTTACCTTCTTGCCTATTTTCTGCCTTCCATCTGAACGAGCCAGCTGTCCTTCCTGTCTTCTTTCCCACACCATCTTCACTGCTTGAGACAGCTCTGCACGCTCTAGACGTGAAGCGTGCTCTGTTGCATTATGTGCAAAGCACGACCACTTTTCTGGTCTCACAGCATCTCTTTGTCGCCTTGGCCAACTTCTCCTTTAGAGCACCGGCTTCCTCTCAGACCATCTCTAGATGGTTAGGCAAGACCGTCTCTAGATGGTGAGGCAAGACCATCCATCTTCCCTATGATTTGGCAGAGACTCCACTTCCAAAGTCAATGAGAGCTCACTCTACTAGAGCTGTGGCATCCTCAATAGCGTTTCTCCATGGAGTGGACATCATGAATGTCTGCCGCACTGCCACATGCACCACTCTGCCTATCCTCATCTTGCTCTACCGCCTGGTTGTCCGGCCGAAGGCTGAGGCTGCAGTAGGTCGAGCTGTCCTAGCTTCTGCACTTTCATGACGTCCCTCCTCCTGCTTAGTGAGCTTGCCAGTCACCCATTAGTGTGCATTCACAGAGGCCAAGAAGGAGAAAAAGAAGTTACTTACCTGTAACTCTGGTTCTTTGAGTGGTCCTCTGTGAATTCACACATCCCACTCTCCACCCCACTGTCTGTCATGTTATCGCAAACTCTCGCAGAATCCACCAGAGTTAATATTTTCAGGTCCAGAAAGCAAAATAAATCACTCAGACACGTTCAGCTTCCTCCAGCATGACACATGTATTTACAGCATAAATACAAGTGTAGAAAGCGGCAGCATAACAGCATGGTATCATCAAATGAAGGTGGTGGTACAGGTTCTCTATACAGTTCATATATATACAGTTGAGCCTCTGCCATTATCCAATCACAGCAAGTGTTGCATCATCCAAGGCACCACATCTCCAGAGTCATTGTGACTCAGCAAATTACACACCTGTATAACATGGCAGCTCATTATTACTTTTGTTCTGCTCTGTTCTGTTCAGTCCTGTAAATTTTTACACGTCACATGTGCCATGGTGTGCTGTGCAGCGGCGGTTGGTTCCTTAGAACTAAGGCACTAGTGCTGGGGATGGAGTTACGTAGCTGGTATAGGGGAGGTCCCAGCACTAAGTGCTTAGAGCTGTGAAAGTTTCCGAAAATGCTCTGCTCAAGCACAGATTAACCCATTAGTGTGAATTCACAGAGAACCACTCGAAGAACCAGAGTTACAGGTAAGTAACTTCTTTATATAAACATGCTGGTTTGTTTTCTGGTCCTGATGCCATTGGGTTCACACTCTGAGATACAGGATTCATCTGAGAAATTTCACACTGCCCCTTAACACAGAGGATGGGATCAGGAAACTCACTGATAACATTCTTAAAAGCACTCATTTAATCTTCTTCCTCATATTTTCCTACTGAGTCAAACTTTTCTCTCCAGGCTCTTTCAAACGCTCAAATGAGCCATTAGCATGCCATTGTTCTAAACCAGGAGGCCGATATTGTGGCCAGATCTCTGTACAGTGTTTCACTATGGTTTTCTTTTTTCTATCTTTTCCTACCTTGTTCCAAAATTTCAACACACACACTTAAGTGGGATCAGAGGGCTGCTACTCCTGGGATTTATTTATTTTATTTATTTATTGCATTTATATCTTGCCCATCTAGTCAATAGACTACTCTGGGCAGCGTACAACATATAAAATAAAAGAATTTAAAATATAACAATGATATAAGACATCATAATCAATCAAACTGATTCAAGATGGAAAAGGTGAAAAGAGATACCTCTTGAGACTGACCATTGCCCATATTAAGATAATGTCTTCTCTTGGGGCATTAATTAAAACCAGCCACTGACCAGAAAAGTCCAGACAGGCCTGACTTCACTCACTGACTGGGTATACTAGAGCCGTGCCAAAGTACCGTGGTTTCAGTAAACATTCATCATAGGCAACAAGCCTCGGAACGGAACTGGTGTGTTTTCAATGGTGGCGAAAGGCAGATTCCCCTGGGAGTATCTGGGAACATGCACAGAGGGAGAACCATGGACACCACAGTCATACACTGTCAGCTACAAACTGAAAACAGATGCACAACTCACCAGATTTGCAGGTTTTTCCAGATACCAAGCGTGTTCCCCAAGGGTCACCCAGCTGAGAAAGCCATTTCTGTTCAGGGGCATTCCGCCGGCAATCTGCTCAGCTGGTTCTACAGAAGCCAAGGTGAAGACCAAAAGTGCCAGTGCTGGCAGTGGCTCTACTCAACCTCTCAGCATCAGCAGGAATGGGTTTCCCTTGTCTACTATCCGGGAGACTGTGAGGCACTCAAAATTGAGTGAAGATGAAAATGGGTCATGAGGGGTCACACAAGCTTCAATGGGATGTATGTGGTGCCCAGGGATGCCAGAAACTGTTAATCCCAGAGCTTGGTGTCTTGGCCAATTCTATTAAGCCAAGTCTCAAGCAATAAGCAGACAGTTTCTTGGAGGAAAGGCCAGCAAGTTTATTCAGTTAAAACAAGTGCACACTCGGGTGTCCAGTAGGGTGGGGACCCCAAGATCAACACAGTTGAAGTATACAGTTAAAAAAAGAACAAAATTATGCCGCAGTTGATTGGTGGAGGAATATATGCATTGGTTACAATTTCTCTCATCTCAGCAAATTAGTTACCCATGATGGCGCAGAGATGCTTATTTCTAAAGAAGTTGAGTCTTCATTGCAAAGCACTTCTTTGGTATTTACCTTACACTAATCTCTTATTTTATTCTTAAAGTTATGTTAGTTGATTTAAATAAACCTGAAGAGCAATTTATATAATTCTTGCAGTTTTACCGTTTATATAATTTTGCCCCCAGATAAACAATGTTGTGAAAAATGGGCAGGTTTTGGAACAAAACGTCATTTTTGCCAATGTTATCAAGAACTCCAGGGCATTTCTTGCCAGGCAGGAGAGCAAGAATGTCGTGATTTCTCATTCTTGCTTGTGAAGAAATGATTTAACCCTGTGTTTGGAGTAGATTACCATACATCAAGGGGCTTCCACCTTTTCCACCAATTGGAGCATTCATAGGCCAGACATGGAGAGCATAGGGTCTTGCACTGCAGCTCCCATCAAGCCTCAGGCAGGATAGTCAGTGCTGAAGAAAAATGAGAGTTTTAGTCCAAAAACATATGGAAAGCCATGCGTTCCCATCCTTGCCATAAGCAGAGTGCTGCCCATGGAAACTTTGGATCCAAACCATATATTTCTTGTTGGTGTAAATTAGCACAGTTTTGTCCCAGTCCAGGCAGTCCATACAGTCCATACAGTCCATACAGACAAAGACATCTTCTTTCAACACCAAGTATATTTACATTATATACAGAAGTTTTAGCAGTACAAACCAGCAGCCTGACATTCATCAGAAGAGATCCTACATTTTCTCCACATGTCCACACAGTTATACATATGCACATTTACATATAGCCAGTCAGTGAGGACATTGCATCATCCCAGACACTACTTCATTTTATACACATACTGCATGATTCAGCATTTTGCACACCTGTCAAATATGGTTGCTGGTTATCATAGGCCTTGTTCTGCCTCCGTGTGGAAATTATCTTTGACATTCCTTTCACTTGCAGTATCTCACCATTTTGAATCCTAACAAGCTGTCACAGTTCTTGTAGTTGTACCAGTTATATAATTATATAATAACTCTTAAAGGAGGCATTTCCCGGAAATGAATTAGACAAATGTCTCCTGAATATTCTTGTTGGCACTATTATGTAAATATAGTTCCCAGTCTATATTGAGTACATTTCATTTTGAATTTTAATTATTTTCAAATTTTCATTAATTCCAGGGTCCACCAGGTCCAGCGGGTTTCCCAGGAAATCCTGGTCTTCCTGTATGTATGGCAATAAATTTAAATAAATGTTTTTGTTTGTTTTTCGTCTTTTCTAATTTTTAATTCTAAATATTCTTTTCTAACCTCAGGGCATCCCTGGAGGAGATGGACCCCCAGGTCCTCCTGGTATTCCAGGATGTAATGGAACAAAGGTTAAAATTTTTTCTTAAAGTATTTTTCAAATATATGAATTTTTAAAAGAATATCTGAAAATGCTTCTTCTTTTTTTAGGGTGAGGCAGGCCCTGTTGGTCCCCCAGGTTTACCTGGGTTACCTGGAAACCTTGTAAGTATTTTTAAAATTAAACCAAAATGAGAGTTATAAGATAAAAATAAACAAAAATCATAACAATGAATATTAGAAGATGAACTTGTAAAAAAAATCCAATATTTGTTTTGAAAATATAGTTCTTAATGTGATATTAAATACAGTGGTGCCTCGACTTACGGACATCCCTACTTCTGAAAATTTCAACTTACGAAAAACTCCGGCCACAAAGTTTTGCTTTGACTTGGGGCCGCAGCTTGCACTTACGAACAGAAAAAGGCAGGGGGAAAGGGTGGGAAAGAGGCTGGTTCTTCACCCCAATGGTTAGGGAAAGGGAGGCTCAGCCTCCTGGCTTCCAACATCGCTGCACCGGGTGCCAGTGCTTTGGAAGCCTGGGAAGCTGGCACCCGGCGTGGCGGTTGGGGTGACTTTTGGCTTCCCACACTTCCAAAGCCGCCCCGACCACGGTGTGGGGTGCCGGTGCTTTGGAAGCGCGGGAAGCTGGCACCCGGCGTGGTGGTCAGGGCGGCTTTCAGCTTCCCGTGCTTCCAAAGCCACCCCGACTGCCACACCAGGTGCTGGTGCTTTTGAAACCTGGGAAGCCTCGCAGAGGTGGTGGGAGCTGAGGCCCAGGGACGGCGGCTGGAGCCCTGGCCAGGAGCGGTGGTTGGAGTCCGTGAGGCCTTCTAGCAGCAGCAGTCATGGTGGTGGAGGTAAGGTGCTGCTTTTTGGCCTTTTTTAAAACTGTTTTCGTGGCTTTTGCAGGGTGGGATTGGGCTGGTGGGGTTATGTTTATTTTTTGATTTGTTTTGTTTTTTTGCAAAACAAAACCAATCCAAAGCTCCAGGGGCTTGCAATGTTGGGGTTTGTTTGTTTTTTGGTAATTTTTTTCTTTGGCCGGAATGGATTACAGTGGACCCTTGACATACAGACGGCTTGACTTACAGACTTTTTGAGTTACAGACTTCTCTGGCCGCAAAATTTAGGTTTGACTTGCAGCCTGAGAATTGACTTACAGACCAGAAAAAAACCAAAATGGAACAAAAACGGCCTGTTACGGGATTAATCGGTTTTCAATGCACTGTAGGTCAATGGAGACTTGACCTACAGACTTTTTGACTTGAGAACCGCCTTCCAATACGGATTAAGTTCTCAAGTCAAGACCCCACTATAATCAGTTTTCAGTGCATTCCTATGGGAAATGGTGGTTCACCTTACAAAAATTTTGAGTTACAGACACCATTCCGATACAGATTAATTTCGTAAGTCGAGGCACCACTGTATATAATTTTCAAATATGATGCATAAAATGTCTTACTGGTTTCTTAACTTTTGTGAAAATGTAACCATTTTCAAAGAGGTAGTCCTTTGAGACCAATGCAGTAAAAAGGTCATAAGAGTTTTGGTGCACCAGATTATAGCCTTTAAGTTGACATAAGATTACTAATAATAAATAAAATAAAATACTTCTCTTCTAGGGACCTCCAGGACTTCCGGGAACAAAGGTACACATTTCAGTTAAATGCAGTCTTGTTGTTTTTGTTTACATAATATATAGACAACTAAAACATGCTAAAAATACAAAAATCATAGATACCTCTCTTCATCATTAGAAAAAAATATCTGAAAGCCAATGCATAAGCTTCATTTATTTAAGAAAGTCAGATTTTCCATGCATTTTTAAAAGTGAAAAGGAGATCATTGCAGATTAGCCAGCATCTGGGACATAAAGCTACAAGAACAAGACTGCATGCTCTCCGTTACAAAAAAGAAAAAGAAAAGAAAAGAAACCAGAGAACAATTCAGATTTATAAACTCTGAATGCTAAATTAGTTAAAAGAGCTAATTTACAAAAAGAAGCAAACAACATCAAGAGTTTAGTAATCAAATTATAATGCCATGGAAGATTTATTCTAGTTTTGCTCCACCTATTCATTTTTCATGTTGTCATATGCATTCTGCATAGTAATGTTCATACTCCAACCCAGAAGGAGAAAATGGTAAAATGGTTCCACTCATCACTTTCACCATGATTCCAAGGGTGGCCGGGGACTGTGTGGTGGGATATTACTTGATATTTTTCAGAAATAACAAGCTGAGGTGTGTGGGAAGATTGCTAACCTTGTCCCTTAACAAGTGAAAATCACTGTTCTTTATTTCTGCATAATCTTTTTCTGTGTGATTTATATTGCATAGGGAGATCCAGGAGAAATTATTGGATTTATACCAGGTGGTATACTAAGAGGAGAAAAGGGGTTTCCTGGTTCTCCTGGATTGCCGGTAAGCATCAGTAAAAAGATAAAATAGCATTACATAGAAGCCTGTGTTGCCTAACTGAGAATTCTTTAACTTTTTTCTATCTGCACTCTTATTTTATAGGGGTTACCTGGATTACAAGGTATTGAAGGCCCTATTGGGACACCTGGACCTCCTGGAAGACCAGTAAGTGCCAGCCTTTCTTTTTTTTCTTATCTTTTCCCTCCATCCCCCCCTCTCTCTTTTTCTTTCTCTCTCTTACAAGCTATAAATCATCATGGTATCAAGATTGTATTGTTCCAAATATCAGGAGTCAATGGTTGGAGTTGTCTTGAATCCTAAAAGGAACCAGGTTCCTTAACAGAAATGTATTGGCTCTCTAAAGAGTGGTCATAACGACCAGATAGGCGGGATATAAATAGAATGAATGAATGAATGAATGAATGAATGAATGAATG